CAAAAAGGCAAAATACTATCCCAGTTATGGTAGCATAGCTTTTCAGTCTGACAGCAGTTTCAAGCAGTGTGACTGTTGTGTTAACCTGATAGGCAGCTCAGCACCACGCTCGCTACCCCACAGTGGGTACAGGAGGGAACTGGGTGTTAATTTTAATAGGACAGGAAAGGAAGGGAAAATAATAATAATGATGATTAAAGAATATACAGAACAAGTGATGCAGAAGTGCAAGTGACCCATGCCCAGTCAGTCCCTGAGCAGCAGCTCCCCACCCCATCCAGCTCCCTCAGTTTTATCATTCACCGTGATGCCATATGGTATGGGAGAGCCCTTTGGCCTGTAGGGGCCAGCTGTCCTGGTTCTGTCCCCTCCCAGCTCCTTGTGTTCCCCCAGCTCCTCACTGGTAGTGCAGGACAAGAAGCTGAAATGTCCTTGGCTCCATGAGCACTGCTCAGCAACAACTAAGACATCAGTGTGCTTCCAACATTACTCTCATAATAAACGCCAAACACTGCACCAGCCCAGCTACTTGGAATAAAATCAACACTACCCAGCGGAAACCAGGACTGGGACTTTTACTTCAATTAGATTTACAAGTAATATAGATTGTGTTTCAAATGAAGTTCTAAATAAACATAAGTTTCTCAGTAATTAAATTATATGACAAACAAAAATTTTTTTAACTGCCTTAGTCATGAGAAAATTGTAAAAAGTGGCTCTGTAGGATGGTCTCCCAAGGATTTTGTACTGAGGCTGCTCTGCTGAAGGGTTCTTATTACTCTCTGGTACTCTTGCTGGTGTTCATGATAGTGTTGGTACAAGAAGAGAGAGCAGACATGAATGTGCAGTCAGATCGGGGGAAAGCACTCTCTTGGGGCAGCAAAGAGAAACACATCTGTTTAACCTGACTGTGGGACAGGATCTATAGGATTTGGCTCTCCTTTGAAGAGGGTGTGCAGACAGGAAAAGACTTTCTTCAGTTCAATCAAAGTGTTCTTAGCCTGGGGAAAAACTCAGCTCTGAGAAAAGACTCTCTGGAGAAATGCCAGGTGTGGTATTCCTCATTGTCACCCACCTTGTGCCCATCTGCTTTCTTTTCAGCATGTGCTCTATCAGCACATTTGTGCGAATGCTTTATAGCGCTGTGCTTGGGCATGCAGCACCTCATCTGCTCTTGAGGATTTACTGACAGCCTCACAGTGTTTGAAGCCTGAAGATGTGCCCACCGTAGGGCTCAGTGCCACCACCAGCATGTGGTGGTGCTGTAACAGGGACAGTGGGAATGTGACTGCCCTCTAATCCCTCTTACTTTTTTTGGCTATTTCAGCCTCCACATCAGTCCACAAAGAGATTGATTACTTCGAAAGAAAGGATGCACTACCATCATAGTGCAAAGAGAAGAAGCACTTTCGCTGGTAAAAATCAGGAGCTAAATCAGCAAAGTATACTGGCCAAAAACTCTTTATGCATTGAACCTTACTGGGGTATTAGTAACATAAGCTATATCTTAGAGTGCAGGATTATTACTAAGACAAAGGCATGATATATGTTTTTAGGTTCCTTCACACATTTTGACTCATGCTGTGAGTTGATATTAACAACATCACCATCACAACGTAAGAAAAAAAGTTCTGTGCATGTATATAAAATTTCTTATACATTCACGAATCTGCGGCATCAGAGAATAATTGTACACACAATTCCAATGGCTTAAATGGGGCTTTCTTTGCATGTGTAAGTCCAATTCTGTCCAGAAAATGTGAACAATAATTTACTGTGCCTCACCTAGGAAGGGCAGCCGAAGAATGTGCTGGGTGCCCTTGAAGTACTGAAGCCAGGTGGCAAACTGCTGTGGTTTCAAGGCCAGCATAATCTGGGTTTTGGTCTCCCTTCAGATAATCAATCACATAGCTAGGGACCACTTACCCTTTTCGTGCCCCTTTCTGTCAACAGTTTGCCATGGTCACTGTCTCGCTTTCAGCTGGCCTGATGTATTCAAACCAAACTTTTAATTGAGGTGCAGTTTGGAATATTACCTAATCTGTCCATGACAGCAGGATGCATTCTGTCAGTGTGCTGAGCGAGGAGGGAGTGCAAAAGTGTTGACAAGTGTGGCTACATCCAGGAGACATTTCTGACCCAACTTTTTATTTGCAAAACATTTCATGGTTTGTTTTGTTTTAATTGAAATGATGCATGTTCAAAAATGGAGACCAGAAAGGATGCAATAGCAGAAAGGTTTCGTATTCATATTTTTACAAATACAGATCTTTATATTTTAATACCAAAGAGCCTGTAATTTCAAAAATCCATTATACTAAAACCCTTTTAATTCTCAGTTGAAATGAAAAGCTTATAGGGCAGAGTTCAAATAAACTATTTTGTTTATCTCAAGACTGATGTATTTTAGTTGCTTTGGCTCTTTATAGAGGGGAAAAAACCCAACCAAAATAATAACAACAACAAAAAACTTCAGATATTTGAACAGCTTTACTAAAAATAAAATACCAAGAAGGCTGAAACTGTCAGTGCATTAGTACCTCTGGGTCAGCTTTTTGACCTTGCTGCTCTACTTTGAAAAAGTACTTTCTAAATTAAAAAATATGCATGTATAACTCAAGGGCTATAAAAGTGCTTCAGAGTGAGAATTTTGTATCTTTCCTAAAAAATGCTTGTCTAATCTTCTTAATACTTCCCATGATAGAAACAGACTTCTCCAGTCCTGAATTAATTTCACAGAAAAAATTGTTCAAGTTTTTGATTGATTTTTTTTTTTTCCTCCAAAGCAAGCTCATGCATTTTTATCCAACCTGCTGTAGATACACAGAACAACCTTCCTTATTTGTTGGTGACAGCCTTGCAAAATCTGTTATTGTGCCCATGCTAAATTTTCTCTTCTTTAACCTTATCAGTTCCAGTTCACTAAATCTCTCTTCGCAAGTCATATATTCTAGATTTCTGATCTCTTTTCAGAAAGATATGGAGCTCTTTCTTAGGGATTTTTCAGATAGCTCATGCTTTGAAATCTGGTGCCCCAAATGGATACAGCATTCCAGCTCAAGCTTTACCACTGCCAAGCAGAATTGAAAGATTAATTCCTGCTCTTTGCAAGCTGTTCTTGCATACACATTGCAGTATGATTGCTTTTTTTTTGCAGAAGCACAACTGTGACTCTTGCTCAGCTTGTGATCTGCTGTATCTCCCAGGTTGCCATGTGGTGTTTCCCATCAGGAACAGCTGATTATTTCTGCCTGAATGTAGTCCCTCCTGGTTTTCCATACAGCATTTCAAACTCCTTTTCCAAGCAGTGCTCCCATTTCTGAAAATTATTTAAAATTTTTGCAATGCTTTCCTGTTGCACATATTCAGATTTAGTGTGGTTTCTGTTCTATCATTTGAGTTCTTAATGAAAACATTTTCCATTTTGTAATGGACCTTGATTCAGTATGAATTTTCAGTTGTTCAGAGACTCATTAACAGCAGCTCTCTGGTTATGGTTTTACACTCACTTTTCACTCACTTTAATCTAAGCCTTGTTTCTTATATTAGCTTTTGAAATTGTTGTATGAAATGGTGTCAGAAATCTTGCTGAAGTCAGAATATATGACAGCCTTCTGTTTTTCTGTCATGACTCATAGAATCATGGACTGATAGATAGGAAAGACCAGTAAGATCATCCAGTCCCACCATTAACCCATGCCTGTGCCCACTCTAGACCATGTCCCACAGTGCGATATCTACTCTTTTCTTGAACACCTCCAGGTAGAGTGACTCCAGCACCTCCTTGGGCAGCTTGTTCCTATGCTTGAATTTTTTCCTGATATCCAAGTTGAACCTCCCCTGGTGCAACTAGAAGCTATCACCTCTCATCCTCTGCAGGGAGAAGAGGCCAATCCCCACCTCATCACGACCTTCTTTTACGCAATTGTAGAGTGAATACTCTCACCCACCTGCCAAGCAAACTGCCTAAAACTCATTACTTACTTGCCTATCACTCCTTTTTTTTTTTATGTTTCCTGAGTATTTGTTCAGTTTTTTTTCAGTGCATTGAATTTGAACAGACTGCTCTAATAATGAAAGCCTCACATCCACCAGCCATCTGATTAACCATCTTTGCTCACTAATAGTGGTAGTGCTGAAGCCATTTCATTGCCTTCTTGGCTATGTTAGGATTGAGTCCATAATACACACATGACCTGAAAACTTAGAATTTATGGAAATGTTTTTAGTTTGTTTTACTATTTTAGGCAATTAAATTTCCTTGTGACTGGGCACTACAGGTGCTATCTGCTGTGCTGCAGTGGCCACCAAGAACTGAAAGGAGAGGAGTATTTGCTTCAGCCAAGCTCTTGATCTACTCTATCAAATTCAGCCCAAAGTCACCTCATTTGCAGTTATAGTGGCAATGCTGGCAGTGTTGAATCAAGTAATTGGGAAAAGAAGATGGGAATATGTAGTAGTTCAAGGTGAATAGAAAAACTTTTATTTCAGACATGGCTTACTTGTAATACAATGACACAAAGTATTATTTACAGAATCTGACAGTAGGTTTTGTAATGTGAAATACCATCCAGGAGTCCTAACTGAAGCATGTTATTCTGACACCAGACTCCAATCTTCATCTATTTAAATAAATCTCCTGGGCCAGGGGACACAAGGGACGAGATTTATAGGAAAGGAAATGAGAATGTTATCTCCACTTTGCTGTGTAATACACGTTTAAGAATGGCTAGAACTCTCTGAATAATGAATATATCTCTATGTCATGGTAGTGCAAAATACTGTCTGTAGAACAGTAATTGCAAATGAGAACTGAGAAACAGTTATTGGAAAATTGTTACAGACCTTAGTAAATTGCTAATTTCCAAAAAAAAAAAAAAACAAAAAAAAACCCCATAGATTTCATTTTGTAGGATGACTTTCAATTATGATAAAAAACATATTTCATATTTCAAAACTAGAATGACTCTGATACTTTTTTTTTTTTTAATTCCTTGCAGCTCCCAGACAGCTGTATAATGGATTACTATGAAAAATACAAGCACAGAATGAATGAGCTTGAAGCATTTAATATGGTAAAAGTTATAAGATTAATGCCGTTACCTTGTATATATGTGGTAGTTTAGAACAAAGCCCTGTTAAGTTTTATGTGGAGGTAGACTGTCTTACTTTCTGGTATGCAATCTCAAAAACAAAGCAGCTCCACTTCCAAACTTCGGAGCATATCTCATTCCAAAACTATATTAGGTGTCAGTAAAATAATAAAGCGAACACATGGAAGATTCTTTTTCAAGGGGGACCATTACCCTGGAAAATAAAATGTTAGTCTCCTTTTAAACCTAGAATGGTCTCCATGCAGTTATTTCATAAAAATTCTTTATATTAAAATTCATTATTTCCCTCTTTAAAATTGTTCTACCTCATATAATATCATTTTCATGTTGGACAACACTTCAAAAACAACTAATAATGTAGTTTTCTAGCTTTATGGCTTTCCATGTATTTTTGATCTTTAACGTAATCTGTTCTGAAGATGACCATCCTACAAGGTGACATCTGTACAACAAAGCCCCTAGAAATTGATTGACCTTCCTGGTATTATTTTGTTGAAGTGGAGCCATTGGGAAGTGTATTGGCTCCCTTTCCCAAAATCATAACAGTATCTAATCTTTCTTTCAGCTAAAGGTTGTGCTAGCTCCCTGCATAGAAGTTTTGATACTTCTGGATCGTCTTTGCTACCTCAAGGAGCAGGTATTTTTGCATTACATTTTATGGTACCTAAAGGCTGCATCAGAGAAATGAGACTATTTCAGCCCATTTATTACCGTGCAGACAAAAGTCTCTGTTGTAGAATCATTTTCTCATATTTGCAAAAGTATAAGCATTCATTCTATTTAGTATAAACATATGCCCAGCAGATGTTTTTATTTTCAGTAAAGCAGCAACAGTAAAGCTTAGGTTCATTTAATCGAATAGTAATTACAAGTCAATAAATGATAAAAAATGAATAAATTGTATATGCAACAAATCTCATTTAATATGACATAGAGATTATTAAAAAAAATATTGGAAATGCAAGACAAACATTATACTGCACATTTTAGAGCTTCCAATGGATATTTTGTAGAACATATAATTCAAGAAATTTTTAATTAGGTCCCATTACATTGCTTTTATTGTTTATTAATGAATATCTGTGATGAGAGAGGTACACTTTTTCCAACCATATGGATCAACTGAAGTACATTTGATAAGCAAATGCTACTATATTTACTCTATAATGATTTATGATACAGTGTTTCTACTAAGACTAATTTTGACCTTGACTTGATAAATTCAGAAGCATCAATCACTCTTTCTCTGCGCTGGTAAACGTATTTTTGGACAAGCAACAATTTTATTGGAGGACATGGTAGCATCTTCCAGCTCCTGCTTTGGTCCATGGTGAAAATGAAATTTTAATATACAGTTTAAACCCATTCATGTGAATAGCTGTTTTTCCACTCCAAGCCTTTCATTTTAACAGCTTCTTTTTATCATATCTAAAAATTTACTTTCTTTTTTGCCACAGAACTCTTGGAACAACTGAACTGTAGTAAATGTATGTTTTTGTTCTAGCTGGTATTTTTACAGAGAGACAATATGAAATATTTAAATAATGATGTATTTTCCCACATGCCAACCAGTTATAAATCACACAGAGATCTGTATGATTTCCAAGACAGGAGATCAGACTTGCTGCATTTAGTTCTAATTTACCTTTCCTAAATGTAATATACCCATTGATTTAATCTTGTACTGGTTGATTTACAAAATATGTTTAGGAAGAAAAAATAGAAATGATAAAAGCCATATGCAACATGAAGACCAGATCCAGCTGGCCTTATTCATTTGAAAAGTCAGTTAATTAGCTGCAGTAGTAGAATGTGCTGCATAAAACAAGTAGGACTTGATCCTTAATATAGTTTCTGTAGTTCAACTGGGAAAAAAAAAAAGCTTTATTGATGAAGGAGGCGGTAAATTGTCATTTCATGGTTCCAGAAATAGTTTAATGACTTTAAGATATATCCTTCTTCGCATTTCCTTTTTTTTTACAACAAACTTTCACTATTTTTATTGTTAGACAAGTGTTCTTCTCATTTTGCATTAGGAATTTTGTTTTGGGGGGGAGAGAATAGGGGGGCAATGCGGATCTATTACCATATCTTAGCTTTTAAGTCAAAGACATTTTAATGTACTTCAATCATATATCGCTTTGCAGAACAACATTGCCTGGTCAGGACTTGTGAAGTTATTTGATCCCGTGAAATCCCCCAGATGCTGTGCAGTTATTGCTCTGAAGAAACAGTCGTGTCTTTAAGTGGAAGCAAACTGCAGATGGGTTGAAAGCGCTGAACTGATACTGCTGTTTCCTCATTGTTCTTTTTAATTGATTCCTCAAGTATACTGATACATTTGGCAACTATTTACTTTTCAGATGCAAAAATAATAAATGCAATGCCTCTGTGAATTGTAAGAAATAAATTGTGATCTGTACCTCTTTTATAAACAGCACTGCTTCCTCATGTCAGTTATTAAGTAATGCAGGACATATGATTTTCTTATAAAAGTTATGACCTGTATTATGTGATTAACATTTTAAAATAATTTTTATGTTTCATCTTTTTAAGGCACTATTCTTATCTATCAATGTCCTTCCTCTTGGTATTTTTAATTTCAAGATTATTCTTCCATAGAAATTTTCTATTTTTGCAATGGATGACATCAACAATCTTAGGCAAGCCTGGCTTTTTTCTTTTCTGGATTCAGACCACACATAGTTTAAACAGAAAATTAATCTCTGTTATAGACAAGAAGTGTGTAGACTAAGTAAGTCTTTGTACTTTCCTGCTCTGCAAGTGAACTAAGGCAGCTTACTGTAGAGCAACCTGAAGAGTCTAGAACCTTCTAAGACTAAATACTAAATACCCACAACAGGGGGTTTTATATTAATCTCTTCTTCCTTCAGGCGTGTTCCTGACATGTCTTACTTGCCAGTGACTCTGAAAGAAACAACTGAGTGTGATGTAATCCATTGTATTCCAATATTAAATAATCAGCTGCCCTGCTGCATTTCATTCTAATCCTTGGGTTTTATGAGTAAGCTATTATCTGGCCCAAATGTGTTAGGTATAAGCATAAAAATTTTGGTGCCTAAATTAGTTGAAACTTTCTAGTTAGTTTCTGCTTAGCCATACCTACTTTATGAGTGAGAAATTTATTTGTTGATGTGCTCATCTCAGTCTCATCTCCTTAAGCCTGCAGATATACTATCAATTAAAAAAAGACAAAAGTTTCTATTCTAACTCCTAGTGCTTTTATTAGAACTTTCCAGTGAATATAAAAAATAATTAATTACAGGGAGTATTAAAAAAGGCCAACCAATAAATAATAGAATTCAACATTAAAAAATAAAACCAGAGAATGCAACTTTGGTGGGCAGCAAATAAGAGTAACAGAAAATATTTTTATATTAATTATATAGTGATATAGTAATAGATTTGGGAATCAAACTGAGATTCCAATCTAGGGAACATTAAATCTTATTCTGTTTCAGTCTGCAAAATATAATGTGAGCTTTTGAGCATGGCCATTCAAGAAAAGGGAAGTAGGGTGTTTTTCTAACATGTCACATCTCTTTTCATGGATTCACTCGGAAGAAATAAATGGTTTTAGTAGTGTAAGTAATTTCACTGCTGTCTGTTTTAGGACTTTCAGTCCTTACTAGCTCAGTGGATCTGCTGAATGTGGTGCTGAATGTCCTAGTAATGGAGGACACTGAGAAGATGCAGTCACTGAACACCTTCTTTGCTTCAGTCTTTACTGCTACAACTGCCCCTCAGAAATTCCAGACCCTGGATACAAGAGTTGAGTCTAGAGAAAGGAAGACTTCCCTTGGTCAAGTAGTATCTGATCAGAGATCGTCTAGGCAAACTTTACCACAGATCCATGAGGCCCAATGGGATGCACCCATGAGGGCTGAGGTAACTGGCAGAAGTGACTGCCAAGCCACTTTCTATCATCTTTGAAAGGCCACGGAGAATAGGAGAAGTTTCTGAGAACTGGAGGAAAGCCAGTGTCACTCCGCTCTTCAGAAAGGGCAAGAAGAAAAGTCTAGGCAACTACAGGCTAGTCAGACTCACTTTCATCCCTGAGAAAGTGATAGAGCAGCTTATTCTGGATGCCATCTCCAAGCAAGTGGAAGAAAAGATTATCAGGAGTAGTCAGCATGGATTCATCAAAGGAAAATCATGTTTGAACAATACGGTAACCTATGATGTCATGACTGGCTGGGTAGATGAGGGGTGAGCAGTGGATGTTGTGTACCTTGACTTCAGCATGGCTTTTGACACTGTATCCCACAACATCCTCATAGATAAGCTTAGGAAGTGTGGGATAGAGAAGTGGTCAGATGGATTGAGAATTGGTTGACTGGTAAAGCTCTGATGGTTGTGATCAGCAGCTTGGATTACAGTCAGAGACCTGTAGCTAGCGGCATTCCCCAGGGTTCGGTACCAGTTAAGATCTTGTTCAACATTTTCATCAATGACCTGAATAAAGGATAGAATGCACCTTCAGCAGGTTCGGTGTTTAGGCAAAGCTGGGAGGACTAGCTGACACGCTGACAGGCTGTGCTGCCATTCGATGAGACCTGGTCAGGTTGGAGAGGTGGGTGGAGAACAACCTGATGAGATTCAACAAGGGCAGTTGAAGAGTCCTGCACCTGGGAAAGAATAACAGCATGCATCAGCACAGGTGAGGACAGGCATGTCCAACTCACAGCCTGCGGGCCACATACAGCCCAGTGCAGCTCACAATGTGTCCCGCTCCCTCCCTGCCCTGTGGCATAATGACAGTGGTTCTTCTGCATGAAGCAGCTTGGCCCAGCCCCAGGCAGGCAACCATCACTCAGCAACAACCAAATTTGGGTGTGTTATTAACTCTGGCTGAGCTGAAAGCAGGACGTGGGGCATAGTGCAGTGCTAACTCAAGTTCTGACAAATACATCTATGCATTTTGATGCGCTGGCTAAACACAGTGTGTGAACAGCAAAAAATATGCAGCTGTACCTTTTGATAAAAGAATTTGACAATAGGTTTCAACATTGCCAAAAACTTACCATTTTTTTTTTAATATTTGTGACTCCAATTTCAATTGACATAAATAAATGATTTGCAAATTTTCAAATGGAATGTATAGAGTTGCAATCATATTCAACTAAAAATATTGATGATGTCTCTGTGCTGGACTCTTAAGAGCCTGTTTTAGCAGAGAGAAATATCCTTCGCTTCACAATCACACCTTACTCATGTCACCACTTTTTGGCAATACGTGCATTTGTGAACAGCTGTTTTCAAGGAGTAATCACAGAAAGAGAAAAATTTCATCAAAAAGCTCTGTTTAACATGTTGAGAACTCACTGAGAATGGCATTCACTTCCATTGAACCACACTGATGCATTAGTGTCACAAAGTCAAAGATCCCACCCGTTCAATGATAATTTCTTTTGCTCTCTCTATTTATGTTTTAATAAAAAATATTAAAAAAAAATCTTTATTTACTTATATACATTGACTATATTATATTTTTTATGAGGGTTGATTTGAAAGTAATTCTCCTATTTTATGATGTTGGCCCACGGTGTCAGAGGCAGATGTTGGTGGTATGGCAGTAGAGGTTGAGCCTTCCCACCAATATTCCGTTACATTTTGTTATCGTGTGACAGATGGCAGCAGAGGGGTAGAATGGTGTCTGACATGGAACTGCTGATGAGGCAGAGATGTGTCCTTGAATTCCTCCATGTGGAAAAAATGGCACCCACTGACATTCACTGACACTTGCTGAATGTTTGTGGAGACCCATCAGTAGAGGTGAGCACAGTGAGGCAGTGGGTAATGCCTTTCAGCAGTGGCAGCAGTGACAGTGGGTGCAAGTTTTTATGAGCATGGCATGCAGGCTCCTGTTTATCACTGATGAAAATGAGCTAATGGTGTTGAATATGTTAAAAAATAGTGTTTTGTAGCTGAGAATTTTCTCTATCAAACAGTGTTACAGTGCTCACTATATCTTTTGTAGTTTCCATGGGAATAAATAGGAGGCATTACTTTCAAAGCAGCCTATGTATATGCTACCCAATAAAATTCTTCTTCACTCAGTGCAGCCCAGACAAGCCAAAAGGTTGGACACCTATGGGCTATGGGCTGATGTACTGGAAGGGAGCTCTACAGAGAAGGAGCTGCGTGTCTTGGTGGACAACAGGTTGACTGTGAACCAGAGGTGTACTCTTTTGGCCAGGAAGGCCAATGATATCCTGGAGTGAATTAAAAAGAGTGGTTTTTAGCAGGTGGAGAGAGGATATCCTTCTCTTCTCTGCCCAGTGAGGCCACATGTGGAGTACTGTGTCAAGTTTTGGGCTCCTCAGTTCATGAAAGGCAGGGAACTTCTGGAGAAAGTCCAATATGGAGCCACAAAAATGATGAGGGTCCTGGAGCATCTCCCTTATGAGGAAAGGCTGAGAGACCTGGGACTGTTCAGCCTGGATGAGAGAACACTGAAGGGGGATCTTATTAATGCTTATAAATATCTAAAGTATAGGAGTCAAGTGGGTGAGGTCAGACTCTGTGATGGTGCCAAGTGAGAGGACAAGGGGCACTGAGCACAAACTAGAAAACAGCATTTATATCCGAACATGAAGAAAAATAACTTTTCTTTGAGGGTGACAGATTAGCAGAACAGAGTGATGGTGGAGTCTCCTTCTCTCAAGATATTCAAAAACTGCCTGGATGCTTTCCTGTATAAATTTCTATAGGGAACCTGCTTGGACTAGCTAATTTCCAAAGGTCACTTTCAATGCCTACAATTTTGTGATTCTGTGATCCAGTACGAGCTTCTCACATTTATTTAGCTATAGCAGGTTCAATCCTTATTGTTGCTGAACAGTTGCAATACTCAAGGAAATCAACTTCAGCTGCAGGTGCTCACAGCATCTCTGGAGTACAACTAAAAAGAGAAAATGAGGCCTTCCACATATGAGATTCTTTGGTGTATAGAGAGTACTGAGGAAAATAACAAGCTGGTAGATTCTTTACCCAAGAGAGAAATCAAAAGAAATAAAAATCTTTTCTTAACCTCTAACATCTGGAAGGAAATATGAATAGTATCCAATATAAAGAAGGAACTTAAGGTAAATAATGTCTAAAAAAAAAGATGAACAAAAATATAAAAAAATAAGCTTATTATATTGCCTTTGCTAATTATGATGTCTAATTATTAGTATAGAGATTTGCCATCCCAACCTTGTGTGCTGTTGGAAAAATTTACTTGGGTTCTAATTGCCTTTATTGTGTTATAAATTGTTTTTCCTGCTTTTTCAGACCACATACCAAAAACCGGGCATATATGGTGTCCAAACAAAGTTATCACAGTTATTGACTGAATGCAAATTTTTAAGAGTACCCTGTATTTGCAAGAAAAATAGTCTCATCAGTAAGCTCTGCCTGGTTTAATTTGAACACGCTCCATATTACATAGGGTATATAGGCTATTGCTAATTTTGTGTGATGTTTTTATGTGCATAAAGCTATCTGAATTCAAAGTTAAATTCTTATAACTATTTTAAGAGGACATTTGGAATAGTTTAGAATTACAAGCACGTCTCTAGCCCAAACACTTTTCCACTGTTTCAGAAAGGTCTGAAAAAAAAATTTCATGCCCCCACAGCAACTTTTCAGGCTTTTTCAGTACTTTTCACACTTTGTAGTCTATACAGGCAATGACAGAAGCAATGTGCTTCTTAGAATAATAACTATCAAGAGGTTTATATAAAGAGTTTGCATTCAACCAAATCAGTTGCTGTCTGCTTTCAAAGCTGTTTCAAAGCTTGAGATGCATGAGGTGTTGTTTACATAATGGAAAAATCCCCAAAAGTAATCAAATTGAATAAAATGAATTTTCTTTGTGGTTATTGCCAGCAGTTCTCCCATAATGTAAACAATATCTTAAATATAATGAAGTCTTTTGATAGAAAGGAATTTCTATTTTCTTTCACTATGAAAGTGAGCTATGCATCTTGAGGATACTCTCTGAGGAACTGTGGATATACCTGCTTTCCCTGAGGTGTTTGCCCAATTCTGTTTGTGGCACGTCTGTGCATTCTGCAGCAAAATTGGTGTGATTTATTTATAGTTCCTAGGGCTGAAAGCTTGGAGAGACAAGAGGATATGCAGGGTGTGTGTGCAGCCTTAATATCCAAGGGTAGGTTGTAGTCCTAAGATCTCTAAGCCTGCTTTCTTTGCCAATAAACTTTAATCCTGAAGTCTCGAATCATGCATTTGAACATCACCTCACAAAACATCCTGCACTGATCTAGTTTCTGGACTTCAGTTTCAAGTCTTTTTCTGATTTTTTATTATTATTATTACGAATGTTCTCCATTTATAGTATTCATTAATTTACCATTAAAACAACAGCCATTCATTAGGTGTAATAATTATTCTTCAGGTTTAATAATGCTTTTGCTATTTCATGATAGAGTTAAAATCTTGAGACTCAAAATCTGTATGTCCTATGATGACTTAAATTCTTCGCACGATAAGCATGTTAAAGACATCTGGCTTGGCGACAGCTATCTGTCCTTTTGGTGACTGGAATATTCTTACCTGTCATTACTTACTGGAACAGAAATGCTTTGTTTCCTAAAAACCTTTCATAACTGTGTCATTGTATTGCCAGTGATCAATGACACAAAGCGCCGGTGGTAAAAAAAAAAAAAAGAACCAGCACCAAGAAAGTCTTCCCCACTTAGGTGTGAAATAGTAACTGAGAATGGGGCCTCAGACATCTCTTTTCTCTAGGAAGCATCTGAATGCTCAGTCTTTGTCAGCATTTTAAATCCTTTTTCTCACATGCCTGTTCATTTTTACTGATAATATGTCCTCCTTATAATTGATTTATATCCTGATGCTCTGGAAGAGGTCTACTCCATGCTAGACAATGAAACATGACAAATTTTGAGTGTCTGTAATCAAATTGGGACAGAAATGAAGTTGTTCAGACAAGTTAGTTGGCCACCTAGCACTTAGAACTGTGATTTTAACTTCCTTCATTTTTGAGATCTGCTCAAATTTTGCAGTTTTCAAGGTTCTCGTGCTTGCTGCCAAATGGGAATGTGGCCTAATTCTTTGGGATCCACCTGCTGGTCTTTCACTATGTTCATCTGAAACAACCAACTCAATCTGGTGGCTCTAAACTTTGTATTTCCAAGCAGCTGCTGAGTAAGCCTTAGTTAGGTTCTTTGAATTTGCTTCTCTGTGGTTGTTATCATTGTTAATGTTATATTTCAGAGTACCTTAAGATAAAGAGTAAAATCCTTCAGGATGCTTCAAGAAAGTTGCACAGTTGCACTGTGAGGCATCTTGTTCTTTTCTCCATTAAAGACTTGAAATTAATTCCTGAAGATCATGCAGATTAATAATTATCAGACAAACTAAGAGCCATAGAATATTAAAAATACTATGCACAATATCATCTCTTCAGAAGTCATTTTAGATTCAAGAGCTCTTGAGGCATCTTCTACACAGAAATTCCAGTGTACAGCCTCATTATGCTGAAACCTGCAAGAACACACACGGACATAGTGAAGATTTGCCATCAACCATGTTAAAACATTGTACACGAACCTTCCCAGTCTTCACCTATATCCTCCCCAAGGCTGTCTGCAGTATTTGTATCAACCTGTAGAGGAATAAACAGACAATTGTCTCACCATCCTAGTGACGCTGTTCACAATGACACTCTAATCTTGTGTGTTAAAAGGCAACATACACATAGAATAGGTATCTAACATCAAAAGGTTTTTCAGATGTATAAATATTATTGACATCAATTTCACAGGCTTCTTCAGTCAGTTTGGTCTGTTGCTGCTACTTCAGTCAATACTGACTATCAATATTTGTACAAAATTTTTGTCTTGTGGTTTATATCTATAGATGGGCCTTTTTCACAATACAGTTTTGTCACTCATCAAAGCAGTAGATGACTAAAAATAACTGTGGATTCAGAGGAAATCAGAAAATGGTTTCTGGATTACTGATTAAATTTAGAAGCAATTGAAATTGTACTGCATTAGTTTGTTGGGTGGGAAAGAACAGCATGTGCACAGATTACATCATAAGGCATATAGTTGGCCAGAATTTGCTAAACTTGTGAACACAAGACACACGGGCAAGATAATATGGACAAAATATCTGAGATTTGCAGCTACTGTAAAATATATCATGATTCTTTACAAATTGTAGGAAGAAATGTAATTGTCTGATCCAATGGAAATACAAGAAATAATGAGTTTTCAGTAATTAACAGAGGGTTGTTGAAACTTACCTAATCTAGGAACTTCAAAAGTAAAAAATCCTTTCAGGGCAACAACATGATACTGTTCATTCCATAAAATCAAGCTATTTCCTACATAATGCTTTTTTTATCTATAATATAATCTATTCTCCAGTTCTGATCTATGCTTCCTTTTTTTTTTTTTTTTCTTTTTTTTTTTTAATCTAAAGTTTACCACTGAATTATCTCTTTCAGCCTTTTACAGTTATACTTGAAGTGGCTCCATTTTCTTTTCTATATAGCACATGCTAACACCATACTGTTGTTCACAAAACTGCACAAACATTTAAGTTTTTATTACAAAATTCTCAGTTTTATGTGAGGCTTTGCACAGACCAATGCAGATTTTTTCATGTAGATAAAGATGTTTTCAAGGCAGCTTTCATTGTGTTTCACATGGAGTTTATCAAGAAAATCAAGATGCAGTAAATCCACTCAGCCAACAAATCAGATTGTTAGACTGAAGCTCAGATTGCCTTAACACGCAAGCTGTCAACTCTTTCACAAAGCACTGATGAAAATAGCAAAGTTGTCTGCTTACTGAATAACTTGATAGTGCCTGGCATCGAGTGAGAAAATTCTAAGTTAGAAAAAATAGCCATCACCTCTCCTGATTACATGAACCTTCAGTTACAATAACTACAACATACAGTTATAAATCTACATTGTTTATTACGCTTTCTATTATTAGAGTCATGAATAAAGACTGGCAGCAGAAGCAGCCATGCTGTTTCTCAACTGTAAATCCTAAATACACTTGTTAGTCTTAGAAATGCTGAAGTCATCAAAAAGACACTTGGATGTTATAAAGTGTAGAATGAACTGCACGCTACTTGAATAAATGTGCCAGTTGCTAACCTTTTTGTACTCTGTGGCGTGATTATCAATCCAAAGAACACAGTTCTCAAAATACTCAACGGACAGCAACAAGATCTTGAATGATTATTTATTGGCACATGCATTAATAGTCAGCAAAAGAGATAAGAATGATTACACCAAAATTAATGCTATGTTGCTTATGATTAAAAAAAAAAAAGAATTAAATAGAAACTAAAATGTAAAAGCTTACTTCACTGGAAATTTTAGCTTTAATTTGAGAATATGAAGAGCAGCACTGAGTCATGTAATGATTGCATACCATCAGATCATCTCTAGATGGATTCTTGATTCTGAGTAAAAATTTTATAGCCAGCAAACATTTAAAAAAAAAGTGTTAATTTGTTTTTCACACTGAAATCTGGATCATCATTGAAATCTTCCTGGTGTATAGCAAGAGAAAATTCAAACAGCTTTTTGTGTATCTTTTATTACTAGTAATATCTATTTTTACTTTAAAACCCTCAGGATTTTCTTTTCTCTATGCACTGGTCTGTTAACAACAAGAGCACTGATTACAGCAATAAGGAGTTAAATGACATTCTTTGTTCCTAAGATCAACTCAAGAGAAATGCAAGTGTGAGCCTGTACAATTACTGACGCCAGTGCTGAAATTCCCATTCCCTCTATTATAACTGCCTTTATCAATAAGGAGAGTAAGGTTTAACCCTAATTTTTCAAAAAGCAACATTTGCTACAGTAATTTAGCAGAATATCTCAAGAGCAAGTTTTCGTTATAAACTTAGATTTCCTTTCGTTTGTGCAAAAGTAGGACTGTGTAAAACAAAGAACTGCATTTATATAAATGGTGCATTTCCTCATTTAGTACCTCTATCAGCACTTTGCAGACAGTGCATCCCTTATTCATGAGCTACATGTTAAAGAAAGTAATGTTAATTAATAATCCTTTGTGTACCGCCCGTTAATTCAAGACAGAACCTATTACTGTAGATTGAGATACATAATTTTTGATAGATTTTTAAAATTCCATGTGAGATGTATTGCTCACAATGGAATGGAAAATATTTTCTGTGGAAAATATTTTTAGAATGTGATTTCATTGAAAATATTTTCCATCAGGACTTGAAAATTACATACCTGGACATAGCTTCTCAGTGAATAATGAAAATAATTTTTCAAGATGTCAGTGGGAAAAATTTTCAAGAACTTTCCTTGTTATTGTGATTTAACATTTAGCTTTAAGACAATGTAAGTTAATTAAGAATAAAATGTACCACAGTTACTCATTCATGTATTATTGAAATGTTGCAGTTTCTTATGTTGCTAATTTATTTTTCCTTGGCAAACTGTACCTAAGTTTCCAAAAAGGCAAATCTAGGAACATGCATTTTTTTTACACATTAACATTCTACAGTTTTATTGAATGAAATCAAAGTATTGTGTTTTGCTATGTAGTGTTTCTTCCTTAAAACAGCTGCCAAAGCATATCTGAACACATGCAAAAAGAGATTGTGGTTCACAGTAGGCATGTTTCTTTACCGGATTGTCACAGGAAAATGTCAGTTTTATTCATTGCTTTGTGGTCAGCTAAGATTTGAAACCAACTTTAAGTTCTGATTCTCCAGCTCAAGTAAGGAATGTCTGATCTACCTTACCCTATACAAGACTGGATGTCAAAGAGCACATAAGGCCATTTGTGTGTTGATAACTCAGAGTAATTCTCTGTTTTCCAGCATAGCTGGAATAAGGAAAAGCTTTAGTACTACTACCACTGGTTGCTCTTCAAACTCTGTGAGCATGGCTCCTATGGAGCTGTCTCGGTGTCTGGGACACACTGCCACCAGACAGACTGATGGAAGTCACTCTGATTTGTGCCTGACATGTCTATTCATCCCAGTGAGTTTCCATTCCAGTGCAGTGGTCAGTCATTTGGGAACTGCTCTCATCTGCCATGCTGAACTTCTCCAAGCTGTTCTCCTCAACTTGTGTTGAGCTTGGTTTGTATCTTGTGGATCTCAAATACAGAAAAGTTTTGGCCCTGTTTTTTACGATCCCTAAAGTTGAGCAACTTACATGCTCACTTTCTATTTTTCCACTCAGGTAATGTTGTCCAGTTGGCAACAGTATAGTTAAACATCACAGCCAGAATCACAAATAAACTGTAATCACAGTATGTGGTGATCTCTATCAAATCCTTTCTTATTCAAATACAAAATTTTCTAGGTCTTAGTATCAGATCTCTTTTCCATCATTAAAGCTAAAACTACACCCATCCCTAAAACTATATCAGAAAATTTAAGTTCTGTTCTTGGAACAAGTAGTTGAGTTTCAAACTGAGTACATGTGCTTTGGTGTATCCACTGGAAAGTATGAGTCTAAAAATCTTTACCTCAGTTTTTTCTTTGGAGATCATCATTTCTTTATTAGAACTAGTTCTCTTATTTTCTTCATATTTCTTCTGTTTTCTATTTTCAAGTGGTCTGGGGAAGGATATGAGCACTACTTTATGTTGGCAGTGGCAGACAGAACTCAATATGCAAAGTACAATGACGTTTTGTGAGAGGAAGTGATTTGGAAAGTCACAGTATTATAGTTTAATCGTGTATTATCACAACTGAAGTACGTGAAGTACGGACCTATTCTAAGAACTAAATTAAAATACTGTCTAAAATCTGATATGTTTTCACTGCAGAGAATGGAAGATTTTTGGTTTTCTCCAATTGTATTTTTATTTCCCTAGAAAATTGTTACAGAACTTGCTGTCATCTCTCAGAGGTGACACTGTGCTTCGCAATACAGCAGGGAATATGGGTGTCTTTATTATTGAACTAGCATGCAAGTTGAGAGGCCGGATTCACAGACTTGTCATTGAACATTGTGGTACATATTGTTGTTCCCAGGTTGTCCATAGGACATTACTGAATAGATCTGGAAAATAAATAAGTAACCCCAAACTGTGTTCAGAAAATCTGTATTATGTGTGATAAATCAAACACCCTCCCTCCTTCTTGGCAGAAAAGCACCTTTGATGTACACTATCTATATTATCACTACATTTGCATTCTGACACAGTCCTCTTTGAAACGACACGTTCTTTAAAGTGCTTTTCCAAAACTGACCTTCATTCTTGAAACATCTCAGGGAAGCTATCCTATTATATTAGAAATCTAATTTGTATCTTTAATATTTAATTCCTGAGACTTTTCACCTGTTCTTTCTTTATTTATTTTTCCTTCCAGTTAGGTGATAATGTATGGCTAGACAGAAGTACCCTTTTCCAGTTGATGTAAAAGTATGCAATACATATTTTCCAGTAATCTAAAAAACCTTTCCTATAGAAAACAAATCTTACAATTGTTTTGTAGATGTTCAGAACAGTTACTGCAAACAGTTCCAATGCCATAATATATGCAATCACTTTCTTCAGTTTGCATGGCCTTCAAAAACAACAACAAAAAGAGCTTACATAAGAGCTTACGAATGAAAATGTGAAATTCCTAATGTTGTGAAAGTTAGCTGCAGTCCTATTAATATATTTCCTTTTTTTTATCTAATCAATGAATCTGCTGTTGAAAATGATTTTTAAAGTGTTTGCATTCAGTTCCTGAGAGATTTTTTATTTGATTATGGTCTTAAAAGGCCAGGTCTCATCCCTCTGCTATTTGTTGCTAAGAAGATGCCCTTAAATGAACACAGGTAATAAATTACTTCCCATAAGAAAACAAGCTTGCGACACTGAAATGTATCAGAAGTATACTACAAAGCATTCCTATTTTCTGGATTGAATTTCATCTTACTTTGCAAAAGGAGTGTGTATGTGTTAAATAAACAAACAGAAAACCATTGTGACAGATTAATTAGTTAATTTAACTCCTTATTTTTATGTGAATTTTTATGTGAAACTCTTTCTGGTTTATGTGAATTCCACTCCAAAGTGGAAAATACATGTACTACTTCAGCCTAATTTAAACCTTTTCTGAAAAGCTTAGAGTTAGTCTGCAAGATGCTTAACCTGATTTTGGCTCATTGCTCACTGCTGAATTCCCCCTGTTGTGAACTGCACTAGCAGATCATATTTATCTCTCATATTTATTGTCTTGGAATATGCATTAATTTCTGTAGGGAATAATTGCTGGCCTGCAGATGGTTCACAAATGGTATGGAATATTTACATTTTCCACTGCTTTATTTTCTGACTGGATAGTTTCTGTAGCAAAGCAAAGTCTGTTTCTGCAGACGTTGGGTCATCTGCTTAGCTTCACTGCTCTCGTCCTGTTTAGGTCATGAGGCATTACACTGTAATAAGAAGTGAGGAATATCTTTAAAGATCATGAGCTAGAACAACAAGAATAGTAATTGACAGGGGGACTGAAGATGGAATATAAATTATGAAGTGTAGTTCTTGTGACTATCAGACCATCTGATCAAAATTAGCTTCTTGTAACTACTCATTTAATGAAGAGCGTTTACTGTAGTATTTATGGATTGCAAACATAACATAGGCACAAACAAAGCCAAGGAAATATTTTTTTAAATAAAATCAATAGTTTAAGTAAACATTTCTGAAGTATATTCATACCAGACTTTCGGCAAGATAAATTTGGTATGTGTAATACACAGATGTATTATTTATGTTCATATCATGATCAAATTAGCATGCCATGAACCAATAAGAGAGACCAGGAAGTCCAGACATTTGATGCCAGAGAGAACATTGCATGATATGCAGACTGTGAATTCAAAGAAAGAGCAAAAAACCAGCCAAATACACAGTGAATCTGACTTACCACAGGATGTTTTGGAAACAGCAACAATGGAAACTTTTTGTACTTTGTTTAGCTAGAACGGAAAACAAAAGCAAGACCAATTTAATTAATTAATGAAAAAAAGATGGTGACCATTTGGAACACTGCAAAAGTAAACCAAAATAATTGAACAGAATAGAAAGGAGAATTGCTTCTAGTTAGTGTATCTATTTTTACACATTCTATGCTCAACACACACAAAGCTTTATAAATAATTATCTCTAATGGGAAAACTCTAAGCCAACTCAGTGGGCGTTAAAGATATGAGGCAACGCGTCTGACTTGTTTGCTTGAACATAACTATTCAATTTATAAAAATTATCATGCTTGTACTGTCACGGTGTATGAATGCATACCTTGCAGCGTGGTGTTCTGAACAGCACAGAATGATGAATCACTGGTTCTTCTTTGCCTAGATATATATTTCACAGTTTTTATGAATATGTCAGAATTTGATGAAAGTTGCAATTTAGGCAAAGTCATAGTAATGCTTCCATTGAATTTTCCCATGTTTCTCTGTTTTCATTTATATTAATTTTTCAATTCTGGAAAAGAAGGTCACCTTGTCTTTTTGTTTTGTGTTAGTAAATATTCCCACTGCTCTCTACTGAATATGAGATGAGGTAATACTGCCATACAAGCAATATCAATTTCAATACATTATTTCAATCACTAATATGAACCTAAATGTCATTGTATAGTAACCCCAGGAGCCTTTTGTTCCCATTTTTCACCCCCTTTATCCAAGCCTGTTTTAATACTGGAATGATCAGGCAAGGAATTATGTTAAAAATTATTGTTTGGATTTCTTAGAGTGTATTTTCTGTCTGCTGTTCCTAATAACTCTTGTGATGATCCAAGGCTTCTAACAACTAAGCACGCTTCATTGTATGTATTGGGCACTGGAGAGTGCTTTCACATTGCTCTTCTGCACTAGCAATGTGAAACACCTTAAGAGAGGCTGCTAGGACTTGAGATACTGAGAGAAGAAAATCGTTTAGAAACTGGTATTTTTTTATGATGAGAACAAAAATGCAATTTGTTTATTTTAACGTATCTTCAGAGCTTTCTGAACTCTGTGGTTTCTTCAGGTCAGGTTCTTCCTGCAGGTAGGTAACCGTGCTGAAAGATTTTTTTGAAAAACATCTGAAAAAAGTTTGTTCCACGTAGTGTGCATGGACTTCTTCATGAATTTATTGACATTTCATAGGTCATGAGTTTTTACTAACAAAGGTCTTCCTTTGTTAGTAGAGATATCAACCAAGTAATTGGCATTTATAAAACAATACAATACCAGTTCTGTATTCCTACCAGCCCAGGATTTCCGGTACAGCCTGTGCAACAGGATCACATGAATTGATGAGGACATGGTTCTCTGTGATCTGCAAACAATCTTACTTTGTTCCATGAAAACACGTAGACTTTGCCCAACCTTAGCTTCTTTTATAAAGCATTTACACTTACAAGAACACCAGCACAATTTTTCTATTACAAAAAAGCATCAACAACCTAGTTCTCATACACTTTTCCAAGGAAGTTAAATTAATGTTCTTTTGTTTGTTTATTTGTTTTTTTTTGTTTTTTTTGTTTTTTTTTTAATACAAATGTTCCTTAAATGTTCCATTTATTGTAGTAATAAGGGGAAAAAAAGTAGAAAATCAGCTCTTTGGCACAATATCTCTTTCACCATATAAAACAAATGTTTAATGTCAGAGTAACAAGCCTTCAAGGCATCAACTTTTAAAGTCATCATCCCACATTAGCTAAGGAATGTTACAGTTATATCCTAAAAGAAAAGCAAAATCCTTACATCTGCCAAGAAGAAAAGCTTAAATTCCATCTTCTAAGTTTCCCTTCCTTCAGATTTCATGTTTGTCCCTGTGTATGCCTGACTATGTGTGGCACTATTATATATTTTTGAAGTCCTACCTGGACTTTAAAAGTATTTCTGGAAAAGAAAATTATGAATTAAAAATGTGGAACTAGAGGTTGCTCTTGGTCCAGTGGAAAGTGTTTAACTATGGTCTCAGGTTCCAGGGAGCCCTCTGTTAACCTTGTAGTTTGCCCCACTTTAAAGCACTGTCTACACTGCAGCTTCCCAAAAATGGAAGTGCTTGACAGAGGCTTATTGTACAAGTTCATTATGGATTGTTTTCCCTTCAAAAAAACTTAGGCAATGTTATACCACAGTAATTGCAAACTCCACAAATCTTTTCTCTCTAGTAGAATGATGACCACATCACCTTGCCAGGTTTCTGGCAACATTCCAGACTTTTAAGCTTGCAGAGTTTGGAAATCCATTTAGCTCCCTACAGAATATAAAGTTTAGTATTTGCACATGGGTTTAGTTCACAACAGAAAGTTTCCTGTTCAAAATCCATAAATTCTCTCTTCCGAATCCAAATATAATAGATTCTTGGTTCAGAAAAATTCTGCAGACCTCCTCTTTGAAAGTAAGGAAGGGAGAGATGTAGGACAATGTAATGGGAAGAAGAGAAAGAATGTTTTTTTATAAAGGTATGTGAAATAGATCATTGATCAACATAGATAATCACTTTTTTCCATCCTATCCCTCAAGCCTCCCCTATCTCTCTATGCAATCTGGCTTTGTAGACATAGAATTCCTCACCTCCCACCCCATATCTTGTACAATTGCCTTCCAGACCTGTCCTCAATAGCTCACAACATGCAGTCTTTTAATGAATAATGAATACAAAGTTGGTTGGAAGATGAGTGTTAATGTTGGATTACTGCTTGCTTTACCTTTCCACCTTTCACCTATGGTAATGAGCCAGCGGACTCAAGTGATCAGCATCAAGCTGCATCAGAAGAGGGTCAGGTTGGGTATTAGGTAAAGGTTCTTATCAGGAGGATGGTCAGGCATTGGAACCGGCTGCTGATGTTGGAAACAGTGAATTCTGGAATGTCAGGTTACAAATCTTCCTGACTTGCTCACTTTGAGAACAATTATGCTCATCTTTTCATGACAACATTTCTGAAGTAAAACGTGGTTTTTGGTAAGTCTTCAATCTTCTCCCATAACTAGACCAGTGACTTCATAGACTAAAATTATAATGTAAGCTTAAGGCATATCTCAAAGAAAAAAGTAAACTAGTAATATTTAAAGAGTATTTTAATTATTTGGCTTCGAAAGTCAGTGTAA